TATGTGAACGTATCCACATGGTTCCATGCATCTAATATCACAATAAGTTAGCGATATGCCATCGAGAATCAAATTCCAAATAGCCTCTTATTCAACAACTATAAACAAAAATTCACCATTATCCAAACTCCGTTTATGGCTTTCTGTTATAGGTAAAGCTATCAATGTATCCATACAAACTCAATAAATGTATTATTTCTAATATGTTCATTTTTAATGCTGTTCAAACATTCACATGGAAACAGCTCTAGCGTAAATATCCCTGAACAAATGGCTGTATATTATACAGGAGGGAGCAGTTGGACTGCCAGACTGGGAATGCACTAGGCCATCTGGCTCCGGCAGTCTCTCCAAAATCATCAGCTTTGTTTTCACCCCCAGACTCCAAACAACACATTTTCCACTGTGATGAGTTTACATTTTCCCAAACACAGGTCCTGATCATGCATAAAAATTCCAAACTTCTTCATTCCTCTATGTGCAAGAAAATTAAAATCACCTGCGTTTTTGACATATCACCAAGGGAAGAGAAAGCTGCGAAAATCTGGCTCCCTGTATACTTGCCCTGTCATTTTTTACATTTGAAATCAACCTCTCTGTCTACTGAATTCCTATAGAACTTATTGATATAACAAAAATGTGCTTATCAACCAACGAAAAACTAAGTGCAGAAAGGGCTGTTAATCAAATCTATGTGAATGTGGTAGGTTATAATGAAGCAATCAACAGAAAAAAAAAGTACTTGCATCAATAGTTTAAAGTACTGGGGGAGTCAAAACAAATATATAAAAGATGGTTTAACTGGAAGGAGAAATCTGACAGGGTTTCTGATTAGTATAACTAGGAACTTCCACTGTAACTGGACTTTTTTAGAACTTAACCTCATCACCTGTCTTGATATCCATACGCACACAGAAAAGGGAACGTTAATAGATGAAATTCTTAAGATGCACCCCTTGTGTTTTTGCTAGATTTTTGTTCACTATCTCCTAATAGCAAATTGTCACTGCTTTAAAAAAAAAAAACCAAGAGGGAGGAGGAAGTGGGGATGGCAAATAGCTTTTTCAAAGCTAAGTGACTTACTGAAGCTCTCCTAGTCACATTTCAGAATGCAGCATGAAAGCATGAAGCACATTTAACCCTCAGACCTCCCCTACAAGGTTCATTTGCACTTCTGCAGTAGATGATGGCTGCTTCTGTGAGCAACAGCTACAAACTTTTGGATCCTGCAGGGTTATGCATGCTCTCTAATGGAACACGGAAAACTGCAATGACACAAAAAACAACCTATTTTTAGTCCTGCTAAACTCGATTTGAATAACTCTCCCTGAAGTGACCCTCTCCAGTATCTTGTATTTGGGAAAGGGCAGGGGTTTTTGAAAATTATTTCATGACTAGGAGAGGAAAGGGTGAGGGTCTCATTATACATGTTGGCCTATAATAATCCTTCTAATTCTCTCTCTCTCTCTCTCTCTCTCTCTCTCTCTCTCTCTCTCTCTCTCTCTCTCTCTCTCTCTCTCTCTCTCTCTCTCTCTCTTGTCCAATATTAAAGTCTCTGCCCCCAAGTAGCTTAATGAGACACTGTGAAAGGTGTGAATTATGGTGTCATTTCAGTACTTCTTGGTTGTTCTCATCCCTCTACGGAAGCTGACTGTAGCTCAGAACCATTCTATGTGAATGTGAAGACAGCCTGATTAGCAACGGATTTAATTTCCTAAAAATGTCCCTTTGAGTTCATCTTAACTTTGTGAATCAAGGATGTGACTTCACACATGTGAAAAATGCAACTGTGAAATGCACAAGTGTAAAGAGGAACAAGGCAATTATTAGAGTACACGAGAATGGTCAGGATGTCATCCTGATCATTGATACTTTGTGGTGTTACCAGAACTCCTCCTATCATTATAATTACATTATCATGAATGCAAATATGTGCTTCGAGCATCAAAAACTGATCTACTTAAAAGAGCTTAACTTAAATGTAATCATTTAATTAGCCAGCTTATTTCAAGTCTGCTATTAAAATATGGAATATCTGACTGGAGGGCCATTGTATATTTAACTTGAATTAAAATTTAACAAATATCAAGCCAGACTTGGTGTTTAATTACAACTGTATAGTTTGAAGGTAAATGAAAATTTACTGTATTACTCATTAAAGCTAAAATATAAATTATATTGTCACATTTGTGAAAGGTTATACTTCATCATTATACTGTACTTTCTAGAGACTGTTACATGAACTGTTACTTGTAAACTGCTTCCAAGATAGCTGCTCTTATAATATATGTAATCAACCATCCACCAGATACTATGCAGGTATTACCTTGCAGGAAGAAAATTTCAGAGAGTATACTGTTGTTTGTGTATCTGATATGAAAGCAAACAGGTGCCTTACTACAAATCGCCTTTTTCTTGATATCAACCTAAATTCAGAAAGTTAAAATAAGCACTGACAATTAATTTTATAGTGCTCTGTTACTTCCCCAAAAAATCTTATTTAAGTTTAATTTGTAGTTCTAATCTCATGTGAATATTTCTCTCTACCACAAGTACTTCATCATATGTATGCTATGAGTTTTTAAGAGAAACTATAACTTTCTCCCAATAGACTAACAGTTGCGGAGGAAAGATCAAGAGGTCAAACAGTACTTTGGTCAAGACTTTTCTTAGGTACCATAACCTCATTAAGAAAATGAATTTGGGTTCATTGTCCTACAGAAATTAAAAATTTTATTGTTAACTAGTTTCAAAGTTAACTGTTGCTATAGTTTTTGTAAAAAAAATCATGCAGATAAATTTTTGATGACTTTTTTTTTTACTTTTAGCTTATCATACACTATAATGGCAGGGTGGGGGAGGAATGGAATGCTATTTGTTGTTTTGGTTATTTCTAAGTCAAAGAAATTATTTGAACATATACAAATTTGTTCTCCAGAAGGAACAAAAAAAAAAAAGCAAGACCTTCAGGGCCACACTAAATATTGTTTGTGGACTCATAGCTTTGTAAGTAGGCCTTATACTCACTAGTTTTTTAAGTCAGTAATTAATTAAATTCTAATGAATATGGTTAGCTTATGTATGATGTCTCATGTTTCCCTTCTTTTGTCCCTGCACTTAGAATGTCAGAAAAAGATATTCAGGAGTATCAAAGACGGTTTTCAAAAACAGAACTTCACAAGAGATTATTTTTGTTGTCAGAAAGGCAGGCTTTGGGGTTTTGAGGGTTTTTTGTTTTTGTTTTGTTTTGTTTTTGCTCTTTAGGTGTATGGTTTTGTCTTTTTTTTTTGGAAAACAAAACAATTTCAAAAGAAAGAGGCTTATCCCATCTGATGAAAGAACTTGAATTAATTAAAGGACATAGGGCCAAGTTTAAATGTATATGAGTTGGATTTACTATGCTAAATCAAGTAACAGCTGAATGTTCAATAGATCTATTTATTTTAGAGAAGTTAAACAAATTTTAATAAGCATTCATAAGAGCTTCAAATTCAAAACATAATTTACTGTGTAGATAAGAATGTTATACTCATGTTTTCTATCTGGGAAACGATGTCAATGAAATGAGCTGTTTTTAAATTGATCCTTGATGAATAATTGGAATTTATTTCAACATCTTACCGGATTAAAAATAAAACACACATGCAAGGTATATATTCTGTCTAAAAACAAAGATTTTTTTTTCTCCATCAAACATACCTAGAACGATCTGAAACTCTTGGATATAGGATAAGGCAAACCACATTTCCTTTTAAGAAGGCTACCATAAAGAAACCAGAAATACTGTAAATAAATGATAAATATCCCACTGCACCAGTGACTGATGTAAAATGGATAACTTTCCTCTTTGTCCTTTTGTTCCCCCCCGCCATCCAAATAAACAAAGCTTTCCTTTCCTCTCTTTTCTTTTCTGATACCAAGGCCCATTCTCTGGTACCGAACCAGCTGCTTAATTCTGAAACTAAAACTTTTTCTCTAACGAGAAAGCTCCCGTGCCTAATTAAAACACCAGGCCTCCTTTTGTGACTCTGCTCATAATTGTACCTTTTAAGCCATAACTCAGCCTTAATGTAGACTGTTTGACACTCGCGTGTTGGGAAACTTAAAGAAATGCAGCTTAGGCACCTTTAAGACCACAAGCTCGTTCATGCTGCCTGGCTTCCTGCCAATCGGAGAGCTGGAGGATTTTTTTTTTCAGAATATCCCCGTACAACTGAGGCTCCTGGCCTCCCCCATCTCCACTTGCAGAGAAGCGTCTGATGCCTGCCCTCATCTCGGGGTGCCATTCAGTCATTTTTGGCAGAACCGGAAGGAGAGCGAGGATCACACAGCCCTTGGATCCCCCTCCGAAAAGCCCTTACTTTGCTCCCCCAACTATGCCCATGCTGGGTCAGAGAAAGTTCAACTCTAGTTTCCCCCCGCTGCCCTAACTCGGCAACTAATGGCACCTAATTAAAAGGGGCCGAGACGCGCGTTCAGGGGAGGGGCCTTTGGACATCCCAAGAGACTGCGGCCCCCTCATCACCTGCACCTGGCATTTGCCCTTCAAGCCGCTGCAGCCCTCCTCCATCCCACTCCCGCAGGTGGGACACTCCGAGTGGCCGCAGGTGGACCTGCGCAGGGGGAGTTGGGGAGTGGGGGGCTCAGAGGAGGGCAAGAAGTGGAGATAGAATATAGGGCTGGAAAGTTCAAGTCCTTAGGTACCTAGCTTTGTGACCTCCCTGAAGGGAAAGAAAATCCCTGACGAAAAAGAAAGAAGCAGGCTACTCACTCCACCTCGCCCCTCCTTGCTAAGCCTTAATTGCTCCCCAGTGCAAAATTTGACCAGAGATCTCCCAACCATCACCATCATCTCTATCACCACTCCCTCCATCCTCCCCTCCAGCCGCGGCTCCTTACTGTTGAACCCAACACCCCGTCGAGAACCCGCTGGCGGCTTAGCACTGAGGCATGTCCTATACAGAAGAGGCCTGTATCATAAAATTAAGAAGCCAGCTTACCTGTTTAGTCATGGAGTCTATAAGGCGGACGTAGAAATCCTGCTCTGTTCTTATACCTGAAACAAACCCAAAAAGGGGAATGGGGGGAAGGCGGGGCAGGAAGAGACAGAATTAAGTTTGTTTGTAAGTACTCCTTTTTAACTCAAGAAAGGGGATAGGAATTGTCCTGAATGGTTTGAGACCTTCCCTTAACCCTTCATAGAGGATTTGGCATGAAGACCCTCTCTTGCCATCAAATTTGCTCACAACAACACCACCCCCCAAACCCAGGGCTGTTCACCCCCTCACTCTTTTCAACTAATTCCCCCTAGGAAACTCCAAGGCGTCAAAGAACCTGGTACCAAGAAAGGGAGCTGGAAGATAGTCCCCATAGGGGTTAAAACAGGAGCCCCAGGCCCTGAACCGGCAGAGATAGGCTGGAGATCTGAGGAGCTACTGAACTGGGCAGTGAGTGAGGTTTGCCTTGCTCCCCAACGCTGAAAGTCCCTATTGGATTTATGTGGGGAGGGGACACCCTAGGGTGTGGGGAGTGGAAGGGAAGTGTGGCCCAGAAGGAGTGACAAACCAGGGCACCTAAGGACCTCGGTAATCTCGGAGTTGAACTTCTCCAGAGAAAATGCTCCCATTGACCAGGATAGTAGGAGGGAATTGGAAACGGGCAGCAGACTGCAAGCGCTACCTGCCTACTTAAACTCCCCTGGAGCTAGGTATAAGGACCTAGGGTTGATTGGGGCTGGGGGAGAAGGAGCCAGTTTGGGAAACTAGAATAGAAAAGAAAGCTAAAGGGATGAACCTGGTGGGCGTCTGGGACTTTCTTTGGCCAGCTACCCTACTCCTGGCTCCAAGGGGCTCCTGACCTGAATATGAAACCTTGGGAAGGGGCTGGAGGAGAATGACCGGGGGGGGGGGGGTAGGAGGGAGGTTGTTCCTGGAACGTGCTGAGGGCCTCACCGTTGCTGTAGAGGAGCTGGAGTCGGTAATGGATCCCATTATTGGTCTTTTCGCTGTTGGCTTCCTAGATTTCCACAAGACGCACAAACAGGGGGAAAAAATTGGGGTTGGGTGTGAGAGACCACAACTAGAACCATTTGCCTAACTCCAGAACGCTTGCTGTACTTTTCCTCTCTTGGGTCAACCCGGGAGAAGGTGGCGGAGATACCCGAGGGGAACTGAAGGCAGGGAAACAGAGGTACAAACACAAGGGTCTCCACACTTTCGGCCCCCACCACCTTCACATTTTCTTCCACCTTCAAAAGAGGGCAAGTCTTTCCAGGCTCAGGCTGCTATATAGATGAACTGAGCCTCGGGGGCATTAAATCAACCTACTCAGAAGCCAGGAGTGGAAAGGGGCTTCGTAAAATCGTTCCTTTCTTTCCCTTTTCCTTTTTGTCGGGCTAGCTGGGCGTCTTCAGGACTGGTCAGTAGTGGAAGGCAGAGGAAATACTAGGTGACATCGCCTTTTAACAGGACATCGCGTTCCTCAACTTGGGGTAACTGCTGCATAACTTTGCTGAAAGGAACGCTGTACTAAATACTCGGTCTTATTATTTCGGATAGTAACAGTATCACAGGAGGGAAGGGAAACTTTGTGGGCCTTATCCTGTAATGCATTGAGTGATTGAATTTTAACCTCCAAAGGCTCCTGGAATGGGGCTTCTGGAGCCGAAGGAGGCGCTTCCGCCGGCACGGGGATAAGGGATGCGGCAGGAAAAGGATTAACGTAACCAGTCGGGCTGGGTATGCGCCTTTGCTCCCCACTTACTTTTTCCTTCTCCACGAACCCCACAAAGGCGGTTCTCTCGATCTCCACGGGTTGCCCCTGTCTGTCATAGAGGGCCAGGACAAAGTGGAAGAAGTTGGATTTCCTCAGATTGGAGGGCGGCTGCTTCTCAAAGTGAGCCCGGGCCAGCCCCACCCCACTGTGGCCAAAGAGACCGAGAGATTAGAGAGCGAAGCCAAGTCTGACACAACCGCAATCTTCACCCACAGCCCACTAGCCATTTGCCCCCCAACATTCAAACACTGATCTACGCCGAAATGCCCAAGTGGGAGTCCTGCAACCTACCCCACTTTCACCCCCTGAGGAAGAAATACGTACCGACCTCCCTAACACAGTCTCTCTCTTCCAAAACCTAGGTCTGACTGCTAAAAGAGTTTCCCTCCGCCCTGGATTTACCTTGGGGAGTTTGGCATTATTTTTTGGCCACAGGTTTTCTCCCCGGCTCAGAGATCTTTCCTGAACTTGTCAAAGAGGAATGAAAGGTGCATATGTGTGTGTGTGTGTGTGTGTGTGTGTGTATGTTTGTCATGCAAAGTTACTTAAAAAAAACCTCTTCTTCCAACGTAAATTAGGGTAGAAAAAGAAGTAGAAGTGGAGGACTTATGTCAAGGTTCTGAAACGTATCTATCGTGGGTAAGATGGGAAGCTTCAATATAAATCTCTTTCTCCCCTTCTCTTTCGGCCCTACACTCATTCCATCTCCCGCTCTGATGGAAGATGGGAATGGATGAAGAGAAAGTCAGACTTCACCAACACCATGTCTCGGATCAGCCTACCTTTTGACAGATATCCCCGGCAACATCCAGTCCTACCACCCCTCATTTCTCATCCCCTGGAGCCATTCCGGACCACATATTAGATTGTCTCCAAAAATAGGCCCCCAGAAAGTTACAGTGTTTCTGAAGGTGACTGTGGAGCCCCAGTACTGCTGTCCTGCCAAAGTTTATTCCATTGCAATCCACACACCCACATTACTGAAGTAATAAAATCTGATTCCTTCAGGAACACCTAGAAAAGCTTAAGGTTCCTGTGTACTGCACCCCAAAAGACACTGGAGACACGGGAGAGTGCACTCTGGATTCACATCACTAGCTTCACCTCCCTTACCCCACCCCCAAATACATAAACAAATATACTTTCGCTTCCCATTCAATTTACCTTGATTGCTCATACTCTCACTGACCCTCTCCTACCCACCTACCCTAGGTGATGGGAACAGCTTTGTAAGGCAAAGTTCCCAGTATTTAGCAAAACGTTACCTTTAGCCATCTCTTCCTTCCCCTCACCCCCCTCTCCACCCTGGGACTCTGCTTGGGCCTGCCAGGTTCTTCCGTGCTGGGCTGGTGGCCTTAACCAAAAAGAAATGAAAGAAAGAAAGGAAGAAGAAAAAAAAAAAAGCAGGCCACTTCTCACATGAGACCGACATCCCAAAGAAAGGACACGGGAAACTTCGGTTGTGTTTCAGATATGTTTGGGTCCCAGCCTGCAATCATTGCTTCCCATCCCTCTGGTGCTGGAGGTGGGAATAGGAAGAGGGGACTAGACTGATTTGGAAGAGAACACTGGGAGACAATTAGATGTCAAAATTCAGATTGGGAGCTGGTACTGACCAGAATGAAGGAGGAAGGGAGGGAGGGAGGAAGGAAGGAAAGAAGGAAGGAAGAAAGGAGTAAAGGAAGAAAAGAAAGAAAGAAAATAGAAAGAAAGAAAGAAAGAAAGAAAGAAAGAAAGAAAGAAAGAAAGAAAGAAAGAAAGAAAGAAAGAAAGAAAGAAAGAAAGAAAGAAAGGGAAGAAAATTGGAAGTAAGAAAGAGATGGAAAGAGGGGAGGAAATTAAGAGGTGGAAAAAAGAAAGGAAAGAAAAAAGATGGAAAATGAAATGAAAGAGATGTGAAAAAAGGAAAACAAGACCGAGAAGAAAGGAAGGAAGGAAAAAGAAGGAAAGAAAGAGAAAAGAGGAAGAAAGAGAAAAGAAAGCACAGGAAAGAAAGAACAAGAAAGAAGGAGGGAAGGAAAGAAAGAAAAAAGGAAGGAAGGAAGGAAGGAAGGAAGGAAGGAAGGAAGGAAGGAAGGAAGGAAGGAAGGAAGGAAGGAAGGAAGGAAGGAAGGAAGGAAGGAAGGAAGGAAAAAAGAAGGAAGGAAGAGAAAAGAAGAAAGCCGAATGAAAGCTCAGACATCTCACATTGTAGTGAAACGTCTCTTCGGTACCGAAGCAAAATAAAAACAAAAACAGAGGTAGGGGGGAAAAGTGCCCGAATTGGACCCTTCGGAGAAGCTATCATCTTGCCCACCGCATAACAGCGAGAAAAACTACGCCGGAGGGAAAGGGGAGAAGAGAGAAAGCCACGGATGCTGTTGCAAAAGCCTCTACCTACCTCTGAGCGGCTGTGTTTGCATCCAGGACCCCGGCTCCCTGCATCCACGTCCGCACAGCGTTCATTCCACTGCCTAGCGGTTCTTCCTTCATACTGCTTCCACTCCTTTGGATGCTTTCCTGGATCCCAAACATGAAAACAGCCTTTTTTGGGGGAAAATCTCCTCTCCCGTCAGAAAAAAAAAAATTAAGGGGGAGGGGAAGGGAAAAAAAAAAGAAAGAAAATCGCCAGCCAGAGATTTTTTTTTCTGAGAAGATGAACTCACACCGGATCAAAGCGAGTTGAAAGCAAATTTTAAATTTAAAAAAAAAATAACAACAGCAATTTTTTAAAAAAGGAAAAATTCCAACGAAAACGCAAAGACCAAGAAAAAAAAAACACCCGAGATGTACGTTTGATTGTTGGGGGCTTGTTGTTGTTGGACCGGTTGGTTTTGGTTTGGAGTGAATTTTTTGGTTTTTTGATTTGTTTGTTTTTTGTTTTTTGTTTTTTGTTTTTTGTAGTGATCACAAGACGGTGGAGCACTTGAGGGGCTGGAGTTTCCTTTTGTAGAGGTACCCTTCACTTGAAGAAGCAGGAAAAAAAACCCTCTGATGGCAGTTTAAGAAACAATAGGCTGAACTGGAGCTGCTGCAGGCTTGGCTACATCAAGTGTCATTTTCCACAGACAACAGGCAAGTTTTTTTCTCTCTCTCTTTTCTTTTTTTTTTCTCTCCTCTCCCAACCAAAGATCTTTCTCTCCTTTCAAAGCGTGTGGATGAGGAGGACGCCGGTTGCTAGAGACAGCGAGAGACACCAGAGAAAGAGAGAGAAAGAAGGATAGAGAAAGGGGGAGGGAAGAAGAGAGAGAGGGAGAAAGACAGAGAGGGAGAGAGGGAGAGAAAAGAAAGGAGAGAGAAAGAGAGGGGTGGACCCTGGTGGATGGAGATTCTGTTTTTTCCTTGCTAAAATAGAAGTGATTTGCAGTCTTTCCCTATGGAATCCAGTTTGACTCTCCCCAGAGCTAAACACAAGCACACTAACCCCAATGGGGAGGAGGCGTGGTTCCAGCTTCTCAGCACCGCCTCGCTATTTGCATAGCGTCATCCTTCCGCCCAGTCACAGCCAATCGCAGCTCCCGGCTCTGCTTTGACGCCACGTCGGGTAACACCCCCCTCATTAACATCTCCTCCTCTGGACCTCAGGGGAGATCTGCGAAAGTTGCACCCGAAGTGCCGAGCGAACCGCGCAGGCAGCTAGGCCGGTGACCGCAGGCGGGAGGGGGTGGGGATGAAGGCAGGGCAGCGGGGGGGGGGGGGGGCGGTAGAGGGAGTGGAGCCAGGGAGGGCTACAAGACGGGGTTCAGGGAGGAGAAGGGGATAATTACAACAACGTTTCCTTTGCCACGGAAAAGTCCATCAGGGCCATTAGCTAAAATATGCTTAATATGCACAAGTCCCCTCTCTTCTCGCCCACCCCTCGCGATGTAACCGTGAAGACTCGCTCGGAGGCGGAGAAACTGCATCTCTCTTCGGTGGGTGCTGGTTTGTGTTTGACGCTTCAGGGGGGATCGGGTGCAAAGTAAACAGGAGCGTAGGGCGCAAGCCTATCTGCTAGCCTGCCTGCCCTACCTGAAGTTGACTATACGCACCCCTTGGCCCTCTTCCCTCTCCTCTTCTCACCCCCCCTTCTTCTCCTTGTCCCTTTTCTGTTGGGGGGATTGGGGGGATGTTCCCGTTTTGGGGGATGGAGCAGAGGGGAAGAAACAGGAGGAGGGGGATCTACGGTGGGGCCGCTCTGGGGGTTGGTGGGTCAAAGTTGCCTCTCTCCACTTTGGTGAGGCTGAATCCTCGTGGAAATAAAACTCTTCTATTTAAGCAAATTCTGGGAGTGATGAATATGGTGTGGTTAGACCCTATCAGAAGCAGGGGAGGCTGTTTGCTTTAAACCCGGTAAAGAATGCCGCCTGCTTTCCAGTCTTATGGTCACGTTTTCGGGCTCTTGGCCCCGGGCGCATTTCACACATCTACACACGCGAACACACACACACACACACACACACACACACACACACACACACACTTTTGTTGAGCAGTCTCCAGCGTTTATGAATCATGAAATGCTGGAGAGAGTGTATTTCCTCCAGGTCCATTCCCACCCTCTCCTCCCCCCCCCCACCCCGGCCGCCCCAGTTAACTGTTCTGGAGTACAACAACCACAACAATAAGCCTGCATTGTTTGTTTATCTGGTGGATGGATTTCCCCTCCCCTCCCCTTCTTAAAAGAGGAAAATAAACAAACCCACGCCAACTCCTGCTCCTGCCATATGTCAAAAAGAGTGCGAGGTTCATTGTTTCCTAAATGAGTCTCCTGAATGTATGGGACTGGCAAGATAGAATGAGAAAAGTATCAGTACAGTAAGATGTTTTATTCCCCTGTAATGTTCTCAGGGATTTTTTTGCTATATATAATCTCTAACCTGCCACTCAAGTACTCCCTCGCCCTATGCCTCATTGACCCCTGGAGGTGACCCTGAATTTTCAAAGTATGCTATGCCACCAGAGCACAATTTCTGGCAGATTCCATTAAGCTGGAAAAGCTTCCAGTTGGGCCATGTGGCAAATGACTAGACGTCTGTTCTCTGATGACCAGCCTAGAAGGCCAGTCACCAATGAAGGATTTCTTTTGGTCTCTCTAATTTGAAGACAATCTACTAAGTTTAGCTTAGTCACGTTAAAAATCTTTGTTGGGGTAGGTGGTAACTACACTAATGAAGTCACAGATTTGGAGGGAAATATTAAAAGAGTAACCTCAAATGAACAATGAAGACGACAAGAGTTTCATTACTTCTTCAAAAATTATTCCATGCCTTGCTGGCTTCTTCTGAACAAAATGAGGGGCCCGAAATCCAAGTTCACTTCCTTTTTCTTACTTCAGCCTTTGGTTTGGAAACCCACTAAGGGGAGTGTTTAAAGGTATACCAACCAGCCTCATAGTTCAAGGAGCTGTAGTTACTTTAATGTGTATATTCCTTCCACCCATCAAAAACATTTGATAATAAATGGTATTTGAGATTCACAATGGTCCAAGAATTCATCATCCCATGGCCAACCTCATAATAAGCCCATTTGAATGTAACTATGCTGGTCTTTTTACAAAACAAAGTCAATAACAATTTGTGCTAAGATCCTTTCCGGCTTGGTTGGGCCTGTAATAGCTTGCACTCTAGAACCCAGGGTTACTAACCACCATGATGAGGCATTCAGATAGGACTTAATTAGAGAATTCATATACATATTTAGAATCATTGGGCAGTTTTCTCTTAGGTTTTTTCTGTCTCCTTTCTCTCCCTCTTCTCTGTCTGTTTCTCTCTGTTTCTATGTCTCTCTTTCCCTCTCTTTCATCTCCTCTCTTGTGCCCTAAGGGAGTCCCTGAGCAAAGCTTGGGAATACTTATCCAGTTTGAGCTACCCCTCTCCCACCCCTCTTTGATTGTATTGCCTAGGCCAGAGTTTCAGAACCACCTGAGACCCAGGGAAACAGGAATGTATGTGGAATAATTGCTCCCAGGAGCTGTTTGAATGAGCAGCACCCATTGTCCTGACTTTCAGTTGCTGGTGTCCTAACTGCAGACAAACACTGACCTGGCTCTTGCTGCACATCCCCACAGCTCTAGGTTATCTGGGTTTCCTTTTCCTCCCCAGGCTATAGCCATACCAAGTACTGGCTAGGACATTGTTTTGCTCTCTCAGCTAGAGACTTATGAGAGAGAGAATATCTCGCAACTTGCTGAGGCTGAGTGATTAACTCAAGGGGAAAGGAGAAAAGACTCAAAGATTCCAAGCCCTTTCCAGATCCCCAGGATAGGCAACAAGAACAGGACTGAGACTCGAACAGCATGCCAAAATCTTGGAAGAAGGGCAGTCTTGAAGGAGGCAGTCAGCAAGGAATATCCCTTTTGTATGTCAATTCAATTCTAGAGGTTGAGGAAGCAAAGGAAAAACAGCTCTTACCATCAAGAAGCTAACATTCTATTGGCTCTCAAGATATCTCCAGCAACCTAGAAGTGAGAGAAAAAAGTGAGAAGATATAACCTCGACACTCCAGTCCTCTCTCCCCCAGGCTATTCATGTAAACTTGAGAGAGAAGCTTGGAAGTGCTTATCTGTATAATGTAGGCTATGGGGAAAGAAGTATTTTCTCACTATGTAAGGGCAATTCCTGGAAAATTGCCATTTCTTTATAGAAATTGTCATGTCTCTATACCATATAGAGGATTGAGAGTATGTTTTGTTTTATTCAACCAGAGAAGACTTGACTGCCAAATTTATTCACAGTTTTGCTTGCCTTTAACCTGGATTGCTTCTCACTGTAATAAGTATCTAAGGGAGAAATACAAAAAGACAGAAAACTGAAAGTATCTCCATGATAGACTTTAATCAGAAAGATCTTAGAAAAAGTTCTTTTTTACTATGAATTTTAACAGGCTATTGAACTACCAACTGCAGTCTTACTAGTGATCATTATAGTAAATAAGCTTGAAAGTTATTAATTTTACTTGACTTGTGTGGTTAGTAATGATGATTCATTTGCATAATGCTTGAAGGTTTACCAACTCTTTCCCTCATACACAAACTATCTATGTGGTATGTCATACAAGTATTATTATCCCCATTTGACCAATAAAGGAAACTGAGACTCTAAGAACTGAAGTGACTTGCCAGCAAGTAAGTGTCTGAGATTTTGAACCCTATATTTGAACCCTAGTCTTTCTGACTTCAAGAACTAATATTCTGCCTCAGAGTTCAAATCCTGCTTCTGACACATATTGACTGTGTGACCCTAAATGAGTCACAACCTCTTGGTGCTCTACAAGCAACTATCTAAAGCTAGAAGTTGAAAACCAGTTTTTGATGTGCTTTAGTAGAATGAATTTCAACTAAATTTCCTCTAGGAATTCCCCATAACCATGAAGTCAGAGGAGGGAAAAAAATATGTTATACAGAGTGTTGAAAAAATCTTAATGCATTTCTAAGAATAATAGGTTGAAACCACACTAACACTTTTGTAATATCCTGTATAATGTATGAAAGATGTTATATGGTGACCAAAAATACATATGAAATATATAACAGGAAAAAGAGGTGGGTCAGTTATGTAATATGAGACCTATGGGTTGCCCAAATACTACAATACCCACAGAATGTTAGAAATCATAGAGAAGGCTTGCAGCATGCTGGATGGATCCTTGAATGAGGATTTATGAGAGTATATGGACAAGAATCACACTGAATGAGAAGTTATGGATAGGTTTCAGTCTACACTGATGGGGAGAGCATCCATATAGATGAGATTACTGATATTTACAGAATAGTTTATAT